GTATTTCAATTACTTGTATTGCTGATACAGAGTCTGTACAAGTCGCTACAATCCGAAGAGTTGCACCCCGCATTATTTTTAGAGGCATTTGTATAAAGAACTTATAAAGCTGATTTAGAATAAGTATATATATGAACGATTGTTTAATTATAGGTTTAGGAGTATCTTACTTACTTATTTACTCCGTGGCGTTACAACCCTTCATGGTTTTTAACCGACTCGACAACATGTATCCACTGTTTTCTGTCTTGAGCAACCTCATCCAATTCTACACGCCCATAGTGCTTAGGTCTCCTACTATATTATTTCACCACTGGAGACAAGAACGTCTGCGTAGTCTCCTTTTAGTTGGGACTTCCTCCCACACCAGTCTTACTGTTCGTTCGTCAGAATGTCTTTTGAGGTATTCTGCCCATTGGAGTCTTCTGGACTTTATTTCTTTTAGGAAGTTGGCGTCTGGGTAAAGTTCTTCGAGCTCTTTGTTAGTTCTTATCCCATATTTTCCTGATGCCTTATCCAGCACAGGACCAAAAATCTTCCTTAGGATTTTTCTTTCCCAAATACATAGTCTTCCTTCGATTGCCTTTGTTATCGTCCACATTTCGCTTCCATACATCACCGCGGGTCGTATGATTGTTTTATAGACCTGCATCTTTGTACGTCTTGTGAATTGTTTCGATTTTATAAGGTTTTGGAGGGCAAAAAGACATCTGTTGCCTGCCTGAATCCTGTTGTTTATTTCTTATGATCTGTTTTTGTCTTCAGTTATTGTTGTTCCAAGATAGTTGAATTCTCTAACGCGCTCAAAGTTAAAATCATTGATGGTGATGTTCTGATCGATTTTCTTTTTGCTTAATTTCTTGCGGCTTATATATTTCGTCATGTTTTCGTTGAATTGGAACCCTATCTTCTCTGCTTCCTTCTCGAACCTCACGAAAGTCTCCTTCATCCTTAATCGTGTGTTTCCTATTAGATCGATATTGTCTGCAAATGCCAGTAGTAATTTTGGTCCTTGTCGATGAAATACTGTATTCGGTTTTCCGATTTTTGCACTTCTGATTATGTGCTCCGGAGCTAAGTTGAAGAGTTGTCGTGAAAGTGCATCTCCCTGTTTGATTCTTTATTTCAAATGTCTCCGAGTATTGTCCAACTCTCACCTTACATTGTAACCGTTCCATTTACATCCGTATCAACCTGTCCGAGCAAAATAATGTTTTGACATTTAGAAGTTGCTTATGCCACGGAGAATGTCTAGAGATCTGTATCTGCAGAGTTGTCTGTAGAGAGGTTGAGCACTTTGGTGGTCTGAGAATAATTAGTGATTATTTGGTTGAATAAGTAGATAGTAGACTGTATTTTGTGAATTAAGTGATCAGCTAGCTGCATATGACATAGAAGATATTTTCTCTTTCACCAGAGTGACGGTTCGTTAGCTTCACAGCACTTAAGCAGATCCTAAGACCCATATTGTATACATAGTCAAGAACTTTTAGATGTGACGTGGAGGCAGACATATAGGCAAAACTACCATAGTCTATTTTGAAGCGAATAATAAATGTGTAAACTGTGGTAATCAATCATCAACAACTAGCCTCTAACGTCCACTGCTAAACATAGGACTGATCTTGCTACATGACCTGCCCAGTTCCACTTTAGTGTTGTTATCCTTTCAATAACGTCTGCTACTCCTGATCTTTTGCGTATAGTAGCCTTGGGTTTTCTATCACGTAGAGAAATTCGTAACATAATTCTCTCCATTGCTCTTTCCGCAACGTGTAGTTTGCTCACTGTTGTTCTTGTGAGTGTTAGGGTTTCTGCGCCGTAGGTCATCACTGGCAAAATACATTGAATTAATACTTTTCTTTTCAGACACCTTGGAATCTTAAAACTAAAAATATCCTTCATCCTTCCAAATCCAGCCCAAATGAGGTGGGCTGAATAGCCCAAACTGTTGTAAAGACTGTGACAAAATTGTGAAATAAATATTAGCCCTGGAATTTTAAAACCGTTGTAGTTTTGTCTAGTTTATACTAAATAGGTTAAGAAATATTTAATTAATTAATATCGAATTGCTTTAATTGCATGCATTTATACATAAAGATGTAAGAAAGTAAAAAAAAAGAGTGCTTCCACTAGTATGTAATAAAAGACAAAAGCAAAGGGCGATAATACAAAACAAGAATACAACGATGGGGAGCAAATAGCAATTGTTTTAACCAGTAAACAGCAGTTATATATTGGTATAGTCAATTCCACCAAATCGTCTTCGCAACCATCTCGGACCCACGTTCGGCAAGCTCAGAAAATAAAATATTACAAAAATCAAGGTAAACCCTATTGCACAAAATGATAAGACTCAAAAAAAATGTTGATTACGTTTTATAACTAACAATAATTTGAAACCAATACTGTCATAATAATACCAAATCAAAACAAAGACAATTGTCCAACAAAAAAATAATCACTTCATGATTTAGTCATAGAGACAAATATAGATGATAGCTTTAGCCTTTCTTGGCTTGTTATGGTTAGCCAAAAGTAGAGTAACTTGTGGCGAACAGTGCTACTGGCGCAAAAAAAATTTAGTGCTGATAAGTCTTTACAGCTTTTTTTAAAGGTGCTTGCGTTTCGATAATGCGTCAACGTGCCAAGAGTGGGAGCAATCTGGAACAAATTAGATCTATTTTTGATGAGTTTGTTTAAAACTGTAATAGTACTTATACTTTCCGTGAATATTTTACAATTGACGACAAGTTGGAAGCGTTATGTGGCAATTGTTCGTTTCGTCAATATATTCCGAATGAATATGTGAAATATGGGATAAAAATGTATACTTTGGTTGATAATACTAACGTTTATACTGTTAATCATAAGATTTTGTTTTAATAAACAGCCTGATGGGCTAATTTGGCAAAGCAACAAAGCTTTCGACGTTGTAGAGAGATTAGCTATTTCAGCCTTTTTCACAAAAAATGTACGTCTTGCCAGTATTTTTACATATCATATTTTAATTTTAATAAATTATTATAAGCTGATCCTGTACTATTCTTTATATATAATAGATTAAGTCATAATATTCTGTTTCTTGTGAACGGATGTACATCTTTGCAATGCAAAGATCCAATATATATATATATATATATATATATATATATATATATATATATATATATATATATATATATAGATATATATATATATATTTATATATATATATATGTATATATATATATATATATATATATATATATATATATATATATATATAACACTGTTTTTGATGGGTTGGAGTCAATAAAAGGGGCTATTTGTTGACTATTTTTTACTCGAGCTTTCAATTGTGATTACAATTTTTATCAAGAGCTTCTAAAAAATACAAAATGTCTTACAAAGTTGAACTAGAAATAAAAAATTTTTTGTTAACTCACCAAATAAAATTAGTTTTTGATGTAAAACTACTGCTTACATAATAAATACAAAAAATGTTAATAAAAAAAAATGTCTTATTCTAACAAATGCTTCTCTGAAAAATTTAGATGAAGTTTCTTAAGAAAAAAAAATTGAAATTATAAACAAATATAGAATAGCTACAACCAGCCTAAAACGTCATAAATACTAACTTAAAAATTTTTATTTTTGACATATTGTCAAAAATAAAATTTTGTTTAAAAAATTCTTCTTTGTTTAGTAACAAAAAAGAAGAAGATTTATTCACCATTGATAGATGCCCGGAAAAATGTAACAAATACATGGAAAATTAAAAATGTGATATTTTACTGACTGCATAAATTAAATAGAAATTATATAATTATAAATTTTGCTTAAATTTTGAATTTCTGACCTTTTGTTTAAATTATTATCACTTTTGCTAATACAAACCATTTCCAAAAAAGTTCTTTTAAATTTATTACTTTCATTACATAAATTTAAATAAATAAATTTAAAAGAACTTTTTTGGAAATGGTTTGTATTAGCAAAAGTGATAATAATTTAAACAAAAGGTCAGAAATTCAAAATTTAAGCAAAATTTATAATTATATAATTTCTATTTAATTTATGCAGTCAGTAAAATATCACATTTTTAATTTTCCATGTATTTGTTACATTTTTCCGGGCATCTATCAATGGTGAATAAATCTTCTTCTTTTTTGTTACTAAACAAAGAAGAATTTTTTAAACAAAATTTTATTTTTGACAATATGTCAAAAATAAAAATTTTTAAGTTAGTATTTATGACGTTTTAGGCTGGTTGTAGCTATTCTATATTTGTTTATAATTTCAATTTTTTTTTCTTAAGAAACTTCATCTAAATTTTTCAGAGAAGCATTTGTTAGAATAAGACATTTTTTTTTATTAACATTTTTTGTATTTATTATGTAAGCAGTAGTTTTACATCAAAAACTAATTTTATTTGGTGAGTTAACAAAAAATTTTTTATTTCTAGTTCAACTTTGTAAGACATTTTGTATTTTTTAGAAGCTCTTGATAAAAATTGTAATCACAATTGAAAGCTCGAGTAAAAAATAGTCAACAAATAGCCCCTTTTATTGACTCCAACCCATCAAAAACAGTGTTATATTTTTTCCAAACGAGTCACAAGTACTTCTTTTTTCTTACTCTTATATATATATATATATATATATATATATATATATATATATATATATATATATATATACAGACAGGAACAAAGCCAACTTTTCATAAGGAACTTTTCATATGGATTCATTAGGGACGATTAGAACAGAAACTAAACAGTATTCATAAAGCAGTTTTTATAATTTAATCTGTTGAGATTATCCAAAACTTTTATCGGATATTTTTAAAGTAAGTCCTTCCAGTAAGTTCTGATAATCTACACTGATCTTTACTAACATTCTTATTATTAAATGTATTCTATATAACCTATTTCTCAACAAAAACTCATACAATATTTAAAAAAAATGCTCCACATATTGCACATAAAGCTAAAGGAATGAAAGAAGGCAACATATACGTACCTATTAAGTTTGAACTTGTACAGACTTGACGAACCACTTCCACTAACGTCAACGCTGGATGGCTGAACTTTGGGCTTAAACGCTCTTCTAGAGTAACCATTATTGTTGTTGTTGTTGTTGTTGTTACTGGAAACTTCGCTGCTCTGTACAGTCTTGCTCTGCTTGGTCTTTCGTGTGGATGAGAACCTCTTGGCAGGCGAGGATGTAGATGGTTCCTCTCTGTGTACATACGGTTTGGATGTAGTAGAGGCTTTTCTGTTTCTATTTCTTCTAGGTTTTTGCTGACTGTGTGTAGTTGTGATGGGTCTACATATTTACAAGTGTTAGTGCTTTGTGATCAAACATGCTGTTTTAGAGGACGTGCAGTGGAACTATATGATATTTTCTAGGGGTATTTACAAGTATATTCTTAAATAGTTTCATGCAAAAATGAAATTGCATTATACCAAAACCATAAACGTACAGATTAAAATATTTTTTGAAAATTATACATATTTTATATATCTATAATTTAAATTATATTTGAAATTTTTAATACTTTTAAATAAATATTTTCAACAAAAGTAATCTATTTAAAGCAATTTAAATAAAATATATGTGACGAAAAAAGCTTTTGTAATTTACAACAAACGTACTTATCACGAAAAAAAGAATTTTCGCGGTCGCACTAAAAATGAAGGAATGTTAAAGCTGGCTAAAGTAGAGAAGTAATCGCTATTTTAAACTGATTTTAAACAGTAAAATGTAGGCAATAAACTTTTATCATTGGTATACAATGAAAATAAATATTTAATACTAATTATAATTGTATAATAGTTATGTTATAAACAATTCTAACATTCATATTACTTTTTTAACATCTCTAGGTTGGTAGTTATTTTAAAATAAAATGTTTAAAAATATGGGGAATCAGATTTCTCTTTTACGTATTTTACTTAAAAATATTTTAACTCAAGTGACTCACGAGGTTTTTTGTTATGCAATTAATATACTTTCTGACTTCTTACTTAAAGTAGGTCTAAAAATCTTATTCTCAGGTATGCATAAGTGTTTATATGCTGTCGTTTAAATCCAACTTTACCTAGAATATCCCTACTAGCTATAAACTTTCTTTCACCTTGAAAAAATTACGTACAACGGAGTCAAGACTTTTCAATAGCATCTGCACTAGCCTTAATCACCAATTAAAAATAATTACAAAGAATAACCGTACGTTTCATTTCACAACTATATAAATTCGTATTAAAACAGAAAATTAAGACATAATTCTAAATCTTCAGAAGATATCAGATCATACTGATATATCAGATTTCTTTGCATAAGAAATAAATCTTAGAAAAACTGCTTATATCCAGAACAAAGCCAGTTCTAAGTAGCAAAAAAATGATTCCCATTTTACTAGCTTGGCTTTAGACCACAGCATGACGATATATATATATATATATATATATATATATATATATATATATATATATATATATATATATATATAAACATCCGGTATTTAGGCGGCACACGCCCTTTCGGTAGGGATCTATGGAAGAGTATTACCAAAACACAAGCCCTTATCTCTTGCCGTACTGCTCCACTATAGGTCAATCAGATACCAGCATGATACCCTTCAATAAATTTGTCGGAATTACCAGCAAATACGCCAATCAAAGAAAACAGAAAACGTTGCTGTGGAATCATCTTAGACATCTCTTAGATATTTGACGGTCCTAAAAGTAATGGCGTTGAAAACGAAGTACGACAACAAACTTAAAAGCCAGTAAAGCGGCGGGCTCTCTTAATGACTCAATCGGGAAGAACAAACACCTAAGACAAGACACAAAAACACGAACCTATAAAGCAGCAATTAGATCTACATTAACGTTCACGGCGGAGACAAGACCTGACACACCTAAAACAAGACGACTGCTAGAAACAACAGAGATGAAAATACTCCGACGAATATCAAATAAAAGTCTATTGGATAGGGAGAGAAGCGAAAACTTAAGAAAAGCATGCAATATAGAAGACATAAATGGATGGGTGACAAAACGAAAAGAGGAGTGGAACGAACATATCAGTAGAATAGCAGAGGATAGAATAGTATGAATAGTACGAGATAAGTCACCAAATGGACGAAGAAGTGTTGGCAGACCAAGAAAAAGATGGTGCGATAATTTATGAGGCTAATATCAAAGATGAAACAGTCTTTAAAGCCTATATACTAGAAGGAAGAAGAAGAAGAAGAAAAGTGGTGGCTTTTTATATAAAATTAGAAAATGTTTTCCTATAAATCATTTTCAATTTATAAAGTTTTTTCTGTAAGATCATTATTTCCTTTTAACACGATCAAAATAAATTTCATTTAATTACGGCTGGATTCCTACCATCAATGTCATCGATTCAGTGCTGGAACTGATATTAACTGCAGATCTACCTACATCCTTATAAGTCACCAGTAGCTTATGCAGATAACACTGAAGTTATTATTTCATACAAACATCGAGCTGCATCACCATATAGAGTTCAGGCTAACTTATACGCAATGCAATCTTCAGTGAAAATGGAAAACGGCACCAGGAAACGAAACAAAATCTGCACAAGTAGCATCAACAAACCGCAAATAATATTGTCCTCTAGTATTTTTAAACGGTCACCTTTTACTATAGAAGGAAAACGCAAAATATTTGGAAATATATTTGTATCTTAAGCTTATATTAAGAACCTACACCTATACCAAGAGGAAATAGATGAACCGTAACCTCAAAAAACTGTACTGGTTAATAAGCCAATGGTCAAAAATGACAACTGAAAATAAAGTTTTGATATATAAAGTTATTCTAAAACCCATATGAAGTTAACGAATTTAAGTATAGCGAAGAGCAGCTAGATCCTATGCGACATTCTAGAAATTTTCCAATCCAAGGCCCTTCAAAACATAACTAATGGTCGATCATTTCAAGCAACACGATTGCAAAAGACCTTAAAATGATAACTGTTAAGGAAAGAGTTACTTAACTTATACAACGATAATCACTACCAGATCATCCCAATACTCTGGCTTAAAACTTAACGAGAAATCCAGTCACATAAAAGCGTAAACGAAAGGACCCAGCCGGCCTATTAACTATAAACCAGTCGCAGAAGCAAAACTCCAAGTAAATCCAAAGACATGTGATATTGTTTCAGTGTAAAAAACATAATATGAAATTGTCAATGTCAACGTCCTTCAAACCACTTGTTAAATAATAAAGAGACAATTTACTTATTGTAATTATATTACAGACTGCAAATACATTAGAAAAAAATGGCTTAGCAGACTGGCAGACGTACTTTTGTGTAAATAGTTTCGTAGGTTCGTAGTTTGTAGTTCGTAGTTCCTTTTAGCTAGACATGTTTTAAACAATTTGGATTTTTCTTTTCAAATTAGACCTTGGGTTTTTCCTTGTATGATCTTAAAGCTGTGTTTTCGTTCCAATCTGAAATTGTACATGTGGAACTCTGTAATGAGTATGACTTCACGCAAGATAGTCTTTACGAAGTTCATAGTTTTTTTACTTTGCTCTCTTAATGATCATTTTCATCCCATTCTTGTATCTTATGTTTGAATTTGACTTGACTAGTCTCTTTAAATGGCTGTCAACCTATTCATTTATTTGCTGCCTGGTCGAATTAAAATAAGAAGTATAAACAACTTTTTCATGGCGAATAATTACATTTTTCAACATTGTGTTTTTATGATTATTTGTTGTTTGGATTATTATTAGACATATTGCTCATGATTATTATTAGACATGACATATATTGGTTTTTTTAATAAGTAGTGTATATTATAAATGTACTCGTAAAAGTAATGTGCTCACGTATTTTACAAATTTGTTTTTTATTTATATTTTTAAACTTTTACCAATTTCATTTTTCATGATCTTTGTGCCTACTTAAAATTTAGAAATTTACTTCTTCTTCTTCTAGTGTAAACATGTGCAAACCGCTGCTGTGAAAAGATTTGTGGTAGGTATGTTGAACCATGTACGTAGATTTTTCAGCCAGGAGATCCTTCGCCATTCTGGTCCGCGTTTTCCCTTGACTTTTTTGTAGAATTAATTGCAGCAACCCATATCTTTAGTTGTTCCTCATAATGTGACCGAGGTATTTGATTTTGGCTGTTTTTATTGTGGTTAACAACTTTTTTTGCATTCTTAATAAAACGTCCTTGTTAGTAACATGGTGAGTTTTAGATAGCTTCAAGATTCGACGATAAAGCCACATTCTGTTAGAGTCCACAACTCAACTCCGTACAACAATATTGAAAAGATATAACATCGAAGTCACCTATTTTTATGGAGAGTGATCAATCATGGCATTTAAATAGCTTAGCCGTTTTTTAAAATGTAGATCTTGCTTTCTCTATCCTACATCTTATTTCTAGGGAATGGTCCCAATTTTTATTCACGTTCGTACCAAGGTAAATAAATGTTTTTACCCTTTCTATTGATTGGCCATTCACACTGATTCTTTTAATTTGCTGTTTCTTGTTAGAGATTATCATACATTTTGTTTTCTTATTACTTTGTGAAAGTTCATATCTCTGACTCACTTCTGTGATTCTATTCATTAACTCCTGTAAGTTGTATCCTATTATCTGATGTTAATGATACCTATCCGCGTATCCGATGTTATTGATATATTTATCGTCAATTTGAATTCGGGTTTTAACATCCTCTACTGCTTCTTAAAAGATTTTTTCAGACTATATGATAAACAGCAAGGATGATAGTACACATCCCTGTCGGACCCCACGTTTAATTTTGATATCATCGGATTCTCCTGACTCTGTACGGATAAACGATGTTTGATTCAAATAAAATGAAATTTACTTAATTTCTGCTTAATTATAAAAACCATTATTAGTACTAACTAATTAGTGTGAGTACATGTTTACAGAAAGAGAGTTTTTAAACTATAATAAGTTTCTTTTAGCAATATCCCTTAAGTACTTTTTCTATATACAAAACACTTTTTAGAAGAAAAATATAAGATTTAATAATTAACGCTTGTCGAATCAAAGATATTTGTCGACTACGAAAGATAAAACGCAATAATTCCTGTAAGACCACTAACATTTGACACAAGCATAGCCAAGTGGAAGGTAATAAAGGCCCAACTCCGGACAGCCACGATTCATTAGCATTCTCCTGGTATATGGAAATACCCGGGAGTGAGAATCAATTCGTCAGGTCCTTGCTGGATAAGAATGGACAAGGAGCAATTAAACGAAGTATGTTTATTTATCAAAAACTATGGAAGTACTAAAA